CTAACAATTGTACACAAACCAAAGTGTGAAAACGACATAATGTTGTTTACCACCTGAGAGTGGCATCAGTATTCTCACATCCCTTAACCTCTTAACGCACTCTTGCTCGGAGCCGCACAAAGTTCGACCATTTCTAAGGATTTTGTAGGACAGGTGACACCTTAAAACACAGCCATCACATTCACACAATAATCACAGCGCATTTTACCCAACCTGTGTGTTTCTGGACAGAGGAAGGAAACACACAGAGTCAGAAGGACAGCATGCCAGCTGCACACAGGGAACACCCGTGTACCTGGCAGTGTGCGCTGACACAACTAACCAATCTGCCAACCAACAGCCCAGTAAATGCAACATTAACTCATCAACACCTTACCCACAGTAATCTACTTCCCTAATACTGCAATACCTAGACACCTCTGTATTGCAGTAATTCTTTAATGACATACGTACAGTTGTGCATCATATATCGTTACACAAGGAAAACTTTAGGAAATTAAATCTGTAGTGTCTCTTCGATGAATACATCCTATGAAAGAAGAACGAAAAAGTCAGCTTGCGCACACTTGCAGAGTATCAGGACTAGTCAAGCTCAAGCATAACGCATCCTTGCCAAGCTGCTATGATAACCAGCACCGATCCCATTTTTTTTCCTCCCCTCCAGCTCTCAGCTTCTACGGCAGTAAACAAGCAGATTTAATTATAGAAAGGGCTGCGGAGGACAGTTAATGAAAGAAACTCTCCACTGTTCATAACCGTGTTTGACACAAGTCTTTTCAACATAAATCGCAACTGAGTATTATTACCACTTAGGAGCCCAATGTCTGCAAGTGGTCACACTTGTAGGAACGACCACTAAAAACATTTAGCAAAGAGCAATATCGCAGCTGCAAACACAGTGTCCTCAACATGAAGATAGGAATGGACCTTGGTACCAAGATAGCATGCTGCAGAGGGATTATTGCCTCTTCCTTATCTGTGACAGGTCAGGCACACCACATTAACTCATAGGAGGAGCCTATATTCATGACTCCAGTGCCTATAAAAAGTGTCCATGAACTGCCAAGAGAGTCTCCTCTGGTCTGTTAGTGTGGAGGAGGAAGCGTATTTGTTGAACTGTTGGTGCTGTGATGTGGGATTTTCAATGAAGCAAGTTCTCTGCCAAGCAACCAAACTGACTCACCCTGGCAGCGAATTCAAACTGCAGTAATACAGTTACAGAATAATACGCTTATATTGCTCAATCCCCCGACCTTCTTTTTTTTTTGCAAGAATTACACTGTATATTAACACTCAAACAAAATACTAAACAAAATAACAAGTCCAGCCCTCGCCAAAAATCAGCTGCGGGAAACAAAGTGCAGGCTATTGCTTGAACAATTAACTCCCTTCTATTTGTTTGGGGCCAGATGACTCATTAACCCACCAAGGTTTCAGACGTGCTGCACATAAATCAATATAAAAGAGGACACAAATCCAAAAAAAACAATGATAGCCCCAATGTAAGGCCAAAACCACACCATATTAATTTCCACAGACAGATATTACTGCAACTGAAACTATGACAAATGTTTCTTCTCATTAATGCGGCACGATTTATGAGGCGTTTCTCAATGAGGTTGCTGTGACCTCTCTGCACTACCCGGCCTGCCACCCACAGAAAGGGAAGGGGTGGGTCGAGGGGGGAGGTCCATCTATTTCTGTTGATTAGATTGCCACTGAGGACGACAGCTGCTCTCTCTAGATACTACCTACGACAAACCGAGGAGGCACGCACACTCAAAACACATCACTTTGTCTGCAAACGTCCCCAAGCTGGTTAAATCCCAACACTTTTACTCGTAGATAAAACACAACAAGCTACAAACAAGTGAGAGGAAAGGCCTATTTTCTGCTTACAAGGCAGCAATTTCACTGTGACAAAAAAAAAACAGAAAAAAAGGAAGTGCATCTTGTTACCCAGCGAGCAGAAAAGCAGATTTTCAACCATTCACTCCAAACTACAATGAGGCGTATGTAGCTCTGACTTGCTTATGCTGTGAAACGATACTAAACACTATATTTTGTCTCAATTAGGGTGAGAGCTGTTGCATTAAAATATCCAATATATCAATGGAGAAATGATGTCTTCCCTAATAATGAAAAACAAGGTAAGTACTTATAGATTTTATGGATCTCCTTTTTTTAAAAACAAAAACAAAACACAGCAGTATTGGCCAGCAGTAGCACGAGACTAGCATAAGACGCTGCTAAAAACGAATAGATGTATTTAGAGTTCAAACCATAGGCTCAGTGCTCTTTTTTGGGGAGCGATTTTAGATATAAAATAGCATCTCTGCATCACATCATATGTGACACATTCGAGACTTGCTTCACACATTTTGTCCCAGCGTGAAACTCAGCGGCTGCTGCGTATTGATTTACTGATTGATTTATGGCACGGTGTGTTATGAGCTTGGAGCTGCTGAGGGACCAACCTGCACTGATCACAGATGTGCACATCAAACCTAAACTCTGGCGAGCAGCTCAGCTCTCCGTTTCTGCAGGTAACTCCAGTCACAACAGTCGAAACTGGAGTTATTATTAGCTTTGCATGTTGTCAGTCTCCCGTGCTTT